GGGGCGGCCCTGGCGGGGGCTCCCTGCCGCAGCCGCCCCCCGCGCTTTCCTCCAGCTGGCCGGCCCTGGGGCCCCGGCGGCGCAGCGTCTGGTACATCTACAGGTAACCCAGCGCCGCCCCCTTCCCGGCCGCGAGGACGACCCTCCCCAGGCCCGGGCCCCCGGGCCGGGGTCTTTCCCGGACCCCAGGTCTCCCCCCTGTCCCTCTCGGGTTACCTTACCCCGTGCTCAACCCCCACAGGCCCCTCTTCGCATCCCTGCGCCTCTCCATCTTCCTCCCGGCCCCCCTTTCCGACTCCCCCATGCACACTCCTCGGCCCTGGGAGTCTCGCCTCCACCCCCTCCCGGACCCTTGCAGGTCCTTCTGTCTTGTTTCCCTAACACCTTGCCCGGCCGGCCGGGCCCTCCAAATGAGCCCACCCCGGGGCTGCAACTCACTTGCCCTTTCCGCCGCCCTCAGCGCCCCCACTTCCCGAGCCCTCCCTTGGGGAGCCGCCGAGCCTCAGGCCCGGGTCCCTCCGATCCCCCTATCCCCGCCCCTCTTCCTGGAGTTGGCAAGTCCCCCCATTCATACCCCTCTCTCCCATTCACAGTCGTCCCCCCATCACACACGCATCCCGCCCCCGCCTCCTCTCCCCTCCTCTTTTTCCGCTGCGTGTCACTGTGCGACTGTGCGTGTGTCCGTGTGGCTGTGTCGATGTGCGTGTGTGTGCCTTCCTGCAGCCCCGTGTGTGTATGTGTGTAAGGGAGGGAGGCAGGAAGAGGTGGGAGACGGTGGGCTCCTAGCCTGCCCCCCGGCCGCGTCCATCTGTGTATCCCTGTGTGACAGTGTCTGTCTCTGTGTGACTTGGAGCGATAGCGAGGCTGTCTGGGGACCGTGCGTGTGTGTGTGTGTGTGTGTGTGTGTGTGTGTGTGTGATGGAGTGGATCTGTCCCAGGGACTGCGGCTGCGTTTCCCAACACCCAGCCTCCCGTGCCTGGCCTGTCCCTCCCCCCACAGCCCCCCCACTCGCTCCCTCGTGTGCTTGTCCCCATGTGCCCTGCTCCCTGCCCTTGGGGGGATCTTGCATGGGGGGACCCTCCAGCCAGCAGTTCTGCCCTCGGCCCGCGTGGGGCACGTGTGCTGAGCCGCCACTGGGCTTGTGCACGGAGCCTCAGCTGCTTGTGTGCCGCTTCTCCTCACGGGAAGGGGGCGGCTTCCCCGTGGAGGGGGCTCCGGGAAGGCCACGGAGAGGGGCGCGCGGGAGGGGGCGCCGCGCGCAGCAGCAGGCTCTGGGCTGTGGGATTCTGAGGGTGTGAGAGGGCCCTCCGGGTGGGGGCAGGGAGTGGGCACGCCGCAGTCTCCGCGTGTGGGATCCGGTGAGCAGGAGCCGGCGGCTGGGCTCCAGGGGCCTCTCGGGGGACGCCGAGGGATGGCCTGGGGGAGAGCATTGTGCCAGCTCCTGACGGCCAGGTAGTCTGTGCCACGGAGCATGAATGGGGTGCTGTGAGGGGTGGGGAGCGAGTGTGGGGGAGGGGCAGGCTGCAGGAGGCTGGGGAGGCAGAAGAAGGCAGGAGAATGGATTCGGGAGAATGGGGGTACTGGAACTGGGGGGCTTGGAGTGTGCTGAGCAGAGAACCGGGCGGGAGGGGATGCGAGGAATGTGGAGAGGATTTGGGGGTGGGGATTTGGGCAGCGTCCACAGAGCACCGGGAGAGAAGAGAGGAGAGGAGAGGGAGGGGAACGCGGGAATGTAAATGAATGCAGCTGCAAGTCTGAGCGGCAGCGGGTGTGTGATGGAGGCCAGGACGCAAAAGTAGGAAGAGCTGTCCGTGACGACAAGAGGGTGGGCCTGGAGGCTCCAAGGGACGCCAGGGGTCCCACGGGGAAAGTGAGGGAGGAGGTGGGGTGAGGAGGTCGCAGAGTCAGAGAGGACGTGGGGCATGGGTGTAGGTGTGTCGGGGAAAGGCGGGGAGGGAAGGTGCCCGAGGTGTGACTGGGACCCGAGGCCCACGGGATGGGGCAGGGTGATGCGGACTGCACGATGGTGTGGAGCGACCTGCGGAGAGCCGAGGCGGGAGGGCAGCCGGGCGGTTCGGTGCTCCTCCAGCTGCGCACTGGGTGAACCCGTCGCGGAGTGGGAGGGAGAGAAGCTGCACGGGATGCACGGGGTTGCTGTGGTGATCTAGGGTGTTAGGAGACTGCTGGGTAAGTGGGCTGTGGGAAATTCAGACGGTGGCTCTGATGCTGTCTAGCTGGTGCGATCTGAGCGCGTTCTCTGTCCCTCAGTTTGCCGTTTGTAAGATGGGAAAGACACTAGGCAACCCCTCCCAGGTGTGAGGTGCTGGACAGGGCCTGGCATTGGTTGGGCAGCGGCTCCAGGGGCGTGAGTGTCTGTGTGACTGGCATAACCAGGGATGGAGTTCTGCTGCTGGAGGGGCACTCCCGGCACATGTGCATGTGTTCAGGGTCCTTGGGCATCGTGGAGCGGAGGATATTATTACAGCGGTGGCCCAGGGTTTTTTTGTGGAAGACTGTTACTGTGTGACCTCGGGCAAGTTCCTTAAACTTTCTGTGCCTGTTTCTTCACTGGTAAAGTGGACGGGGTACTTTATAGCTAAAGTCTTACGGGTTTACCTCTAAAATGTTTTTTTTTAGTTTTTTCAGTGCTGGGGATGGACCCCAGGGCCTTGCCCACACAAGGCAAACACACTGCCACGGAGCCCCACCCCGGGCCTGGGAAGGGCTGTGGCTTTTGCCTTGTCCAGAGGCACACTTCTAAGCCTGTAACCTACATAGGCTGTTACTGATTACCTGGGGGGATGGGGAAGGTATTTGGGGAAGGCCTAGGGGTGGCATATGCGGATGATATGGGGGTATGAGGGGAGAGGTAGGGGTGTGAAGCAGGAGTGAAAGAAAGTGGAGTGCTGCAGGAAGAGGGCTGCGGAGGGCCCTGGACTTGGGGAGGACCTTGGAGCAGCAAAGACATGAGGGTTTGGAGGAGGCTGTCAGGGTTTGTGGCCGAGACACGAGCGGGGTGAGGATGTCACAAGCAACTGATGTGACCTTGGAACCAACCTCCACTGACCTTGTCCATTCACTGTTGAGGCTTCTTGGCCACTTTCTGTCCTCCCACCCGCTGCCATGCCTGCACACATCCCTCCATCCCCACTGCTACCGGCTGTACCGCAGCCACCAAGGTCCTGGCTCATGGGCTGCTTGTAAGCTCGGGGAGGAAGACACGGCAGGTGTGGTGCGGATGTGTTTCCGGGACCAGGATGAACCCAGGGCGAGAGCAGTAGCTGGCACAGGGTGTGTACATCCGTGCTGTGGATGTGAAGAGACGGGAAGGCATGGTGAAGAGAGAGGGTAGGGTGGGAGGCCGTGCAGGCGCAGGCACAGAACTGTCTCTGGGTACCAGTGTATGGATTTCACAATGGGAGTCACAGGGGTCATGGGAGAATACAGAGGTGCTTGTGGGGGGCAGCGCTGAAATACAGTGGGAGCACAGCAGGTATTATTGGCGTGTGCTAGGATGTGTGCAGGGGGGGTGTGTTGTGGGAACACACTGAGATCAGAGTGAGGGGGAGTTATTATTGGAGCGTACTGGGATGTGTGGGGGTGTTACTGAAATATACTGGAGTATTCATGGAGGGCTGTGTTGCCGAATCTGTGGGGGTAGGTAATTGGGGAGCACACTTGGCTATTATTGGAGTGTGTTTGAGCTGCATGGATATCACTGGGATATGCCGAGGGGGTCCGGGCATTGTTGGGCATGGTTGCAATATCCTACAGTGTGGGAGAGGGACTCGGGGAAGAGCTGCAGTAAGGCCCTGGCCCCAGGCACCACCAGAAAATGTTCAGGGCAAGGCAGGGTGGGCTGCCAGGTGTTGGAGGTTATTCTGGAGGGAGGGCTATTCTGGAGCTGCTGTGTTTGGCATTGCTGTCTACCCTGGGGGGGAGCCTTCTGGAGCATACAGTGGTGGGGCCAAGGTTTTGGGGAGCTATTTTTGGAGCAGGCCTGAAGATAATGCAATGACTTCAGTCTGTCTGTGAACTTTACTGGCTATGTGAGCATCACCCCCATGTGTTGGTGGGGCTTGGGGGCTTTCATGGGGACCACCAGCTTGTATTCATGGATAGTTCCCCTGTGTGGACAGTGTGCTAGGACACACTGCTGGTGTGCAGGAGACGCGGTTGTGATTCGCCGAATCTTAAGGCCATTGGGACTGCCTGTAGCAGTGGAAACATTCTAGGTCTGCACAGTCCTGCATAGCAGCCACCAGCCACATACCGCTACTGGGCCCTTGGAAGAGTGGCCATTGTGATCGAATGCTTGATTGAATGTGAATGTTTGATTTTGATTAACTGTCATAATAATAGCCACATACAAGCTGGGAGTGGTGGCACACACCTGTAATCCCAGCACTCGGGAGGCTGAGGCAGGAGGACTGCCGTGAGTTTGAGTCCAGTCTGGGCTACATTGTGAGCAAGGCCAGCCTGAACTGCATAGTGAGACCTTGTTTCAAAAAAAAAAAAAGATTAAAAATAGTCGCATGCAGTTAAGTGGCTACCATATTGGATAGTGCAGAAGCGTGTTCTGATAGGCTTGGGGACCTCAAGGGGTATTACGTTCATATACATAGCAGGAGTTTAGAAGCAGGGGGGTGGGTCATCAAAAGTAACATGTCTTTTTTGTTGTTATTTTTCTATATTGGGGATTGAAACCAAGGTCTTTGCATTCAGCTACGTCTCCAGCCCTTTTTTATTTTTATTTTGAGACAGGGTCTTGTTAAGAGCCTAAGTTGCAGCTAGGCATGGTGGCACACGCCCATAATCCCAGCACTCAGGAGGCTCAGGCAGGAGGATCACTGCACGTTTAAGGCCAGCCTGGGATACAAAGTGAGTTCAAGGCCAGCCTGAGCTATACAGGGAGACCCTGTCTCAAAAAAAAAAAAAAGAAAAAAGAACCTAAATTGCCCAGGTTGGGCTGAAACTCCCAGAGTGCTGGGATTACAGGTGTGCACCACTATACCTGCCCATGTGTCTCCTTGACTTAATACCTTGATCTAAGGATAGTGACCAGGTCCTGCTGAGCACTGTGTGATACACTGCGTGGATATTTCCTTCTAAGCTCCCCCAGGTCCTGCCAGGCAGAGTGTGTAGCCATCCGTCAGGATAGTGAGGAAATGGGGACACGAAAGGTTCATGTGTGGGCTCAAGGTCACAGACAGGAAGCGACTCTCAGGGCCGCAGGCCAGGCTGTGTGGTAATGTGGAGGCCTCTCCTCGCCTTCTGGGTGCCCCACTTGCTGAATGGCAGGGTGGATGGATGCTGGCTGGATGAATGAGGAAAGACTGAGTGGGAGAGAGCACTGCGGGCTCTGAGGGGGAGGCCTGGCAGGGCTGCTGGGAGAACACGCACGCCACGTGGGGAGAGGCATCCTGGGAGGAGCGCTCCGTGGTCCCGGTTCCAGCAGGGGCTGGGGGGCTGGGGGGCTGGGGTGCTGGCTGCGGCACCAGCGCGGGGTCGCATGGTGGCTTCTCACCCCTTCCCTCCTGCCCTCCTGCTAGCGATTACATCATTAAGGAGAAGACGGTCTTGCTGCAGAAGAAAGACAGCGAGGGGTTTGGGTTCGTGCTCCGGGGGGCCAAGGGTGAGTGCCGGCCGGGGAGGGGTGGGAGGAGGCTCTTGGACCCAAAGCAGGGCCGGGGCGGGGGACGTGGACAGGGCCAGGACCCCAACCCACCCACCACCCCACCCCGGGGTGCTGGTCCCTCAGCTACGGGGAGGCCTCTGTGACTTGGGTCTGAGCCCCATCCCCTGCTCGGCCTCTCCACCCCCTCCCCTCCGACCCCGCCGGCTCCTCCCTGTCTGCAGCGCAGACCCCCATCGAGGAGTTCACCCCCACCCCGGCCTTCCCGGCGCTGCAGTACCTCGAGTCCGTGGACGAGGGGGGCGTGGCATGGCGGGCTGGACTGCGGATGGGAGATTTCCTCATCGAGGTGAGTCTGGCCCGCACCTCTTGCCTGCCACCCCGGGCACAAGCCCCCAGGCCCCTCCGACCCACACCCGGTTCTGGCAGCCCACCAACGCCAGTTCTCCTTTGGCATCGGCCCGCCCCAGCCAGCCCCTGCTTCCTTCAGTGACTCCATCCAGAGGCTCTTCTGAAGGGTCTGGAAGAGTAGCAGAGCTGTTCCCAGTGCACCCTGGGGCACACGAGGGTCTTCCATGCCCGGGCCAGGGTGTTACGGGGGCTCACAAGGGAAGGGTGGTGTGAGGGCCAGGGGAGGGGACAGTGGTGGAGAGGGTCACGGATGGGGCAAGATAGAGGCCAGTCGGCTGGGGACCCTGAAGCTGAACCCCGCGCCCTGTGCCGCAGGTGAATGGGCAGAACGTGGTGAAGGTCGGCCACCGCCAGGTGGTGAACATGATCCGGCAAGGGGGCAACACGCTCATGGTGAAGGTGGTGATGGTCACCAGGCACCCGGACATGGATGAGGCCGTCCATAAGAAAGGTGCTCTTCAACTCCTGTGGCCAGGCCTGGGCGCCCCACTGCCACCACACTAGGGTCCTCAGGAGGCCCCATGGCCGGTCCCCGCTGCCCAAAGCCTGCCCTTCCCCAAGGCTGTTTATTCATGGCCCTCCTAGGGAGAAGCTGAGGCAGGCAGGGCTCCGCGCGCTGGCGGTGCTGTCCTGAGGAGCCCGGGAGCATTGGGGCCGCGGGTGGGGGCGGGTGCCCCCCTGAAGTGCTGATGTCCCCACCCCTCCCAGCCCCGCAGCAGGCCAAGCGGCTCCCGCCCCCGGCCATCTCCCTGCGCTCCAAGTCTATGACCTCAGAGCTGGAGGAAATGGGTGAGCCTGCAGGGCTGCTGGGCTGTGGGCGGGCCAGGGCGGGGGCTCGAGCGTCCCTGAGTTTGTTAGTGTTGTTAGTGACCGGGGGTCCTGTCCTCTTCCTGTCCCGTCTGTGGGCAGGACTCTGGCCTGCCTGTGTGTCTCTGGGAAGGGTGTCTGAAAGATGACTTCTGTTCTCTCGTATCTGTTGCTCTGTCGAGGTCTCTCTTTTGGGTCTGTATGTGTCCCTCTCTGCGGGTCACTCTGTCCTTCCTTCTGGTCCCTCTCCATCCATCCAACTTCCCCCCTGACCCCCGCTTTCTATCTCTCCTTCCAGTAGCTTCCCAAACCCCCAATAGCCCCGCAAGGTGACCCCCTTCCCCCTAGGCAGGGCCGAGGAGACCGGGGGTCCCGGTTTCCCTGACACTTCCGGGGCCCTAAGGGAGGCGGGTGTTCCAGAGAGGGGACCCCTCGCCTCCCCCTGACGTCCTAACTCTTGGCTCCTCTACTGCCTCTCCCCCGGGCTAGTCTCCCCCTGGAAGAAGAAGAGTGGTGAGTGGGCACAGGACTGGCGGGAGGGCCCCCGCGTCCCGACCCTGCCGGCCGACTCGCCCCTCCCCACCCGGCCCCTACTGCCCCACTGCGCTTGCGCACGCTCACTGGCCACGCCCACTGGATGCACCTGTTGGCCATGCCCACTGGCCGAGCCCATTCCGCCCCGTGTCACGGGGGCGCTCTCGAGCTATATCCATCTCCTTTGCCCACAGAATATGAACAGCAGCCTGCGCCGGTGCCCAGCATGGAGAAAAAGCGGACTGTGTATCAGATGGCTCTCAGTAAGATGTCCCAGCCGGATTCCTACCCCTCTGGCCTCCCTCTCGGTCACATGCCCCCCTTTCCCAGCCGCATACAGCGCGGCTCTGTCCCTGCGCCAGACTTCATGGTCCCCCACCTGTCTGCGCCTCTCTCAGACAAACTGGACGAGATCCTGGCTGCAGCCCAGCAAACCATCAGCGCTAGCGAGAGCCCTGCGCCTGGTGGCCTCGCGTCCCTGGGCAAGCATCGGCCCAAAGGCTTCTTCGCCACCGAGGTAGGCGGCTGGCATGGCGAGGGAACCGGGGCCCCCTGCCGAAACCTTTCCTGAGCCCACGTTCACGCTGAAGGCACCATACTTCCCGGGGGCCACCTTTCTCTGTCTGCTTATGTCCCACCCGCACCGCGCCTCTCCTTTCCTCATCTGGTTCTTTGTCCCACTTCTTTTGTCCCCGCCCCGGGGTCTCAAGGCAGCCAAAGCGATGTCATAGATGGAGATTCCCCCACGCGACGAGACGATAGGAGCTCGGCGAGCGTTAGTTATTAAGATATTAATTATTAAGCCAGGCACCATGGCACAGGCCAGTACTCTCAGCTTCTTGGGAGGCTGAGGAGAGGATCGCCTGAGCCCGGGAGTTTGGGGGTAGCCTGGACAAGATAGCAAAACCTTCTATCTCTCAAAAAAAGTTATTATCCCTGTCCTGTCTTTCTGATCGCCTTCCCCCCGCAGGAAGAGGTGAAGCTATAGTGGATGCTGTGTTCTGCATGGATTATTTCATTCATTTCTTAAAATCGTCCTCTGTGGTACATACAGTTGTAAGCCTGCTTGCAGAGGGCTGAGGGGGAACCTGAGGCTCAGAGAAAAAGTCCAGCCTCAGCCCTAGCTGTCGTGGGGGCCCCCGTGGGCCTGTCCCTGGCTGTCCACCTACTGGGCTGTGCCTCTTGACATCAGTGTAACCCCCAGGCCTGCCTGTGACCCCTCATGCTATTACCTCTCCCTGCCCTGCCCGAGCCATTTACTCTGAAGCTGGCTTTGTTGGCTTTTAGGGGGCCACAGATCCCTGCAGTAGACTGGCATCGTCTTTCTCAGAATAATGCTTAAAAGTGCGTAAACTGTGATACACAAGATAACAAAAGAAGCTAGTTATACCAAAATAGAGTTATCAAAATATTTTTAAAAAGCAAAATTTGTGGTATCGTACTATCTGTGCCTTTTCATCAACACATTACACAGAGCAATCTGACAGTGGATCTTAAGTACTCTAATTTCAAAATCATGAGGAGCATAAACATTATTTTGAGAAATCTGCACCACTGCAATGGGATATGGAAATATCTGTGATTTCTATGGGGGATGCAGACACTGGGCTTGCTGAGACTAGCAGAGTTTGTTGTCTATGTCCTTAATTGAGGAAGAGCTGAGATTTTGTTGGAGGATATGAAAATAAAGACATAGTTTGTCGTTCTCTCTCAGTACGCAGGCCCCCACCCCTGGAGTGGAATCTACCCACACAGCCTCACCAAGGGCTAGACCATCTGCTCTAGTGGGTCTCATACTTTTACAAGAGTCAGTGAGCCAGGTGTGGTGGCGCATGCCTGTAATCCCAGCACTGGGGAGGCTGAGGCGGGAGGATCGTTTCTGAGTTCAAGACCAACCTGGACTCCAGAGTGAGCTCAAGGCCAGCCAGAACTGCATAGTGAGACCCTGTCTCAAAAAAGACAAAAAAAAAGTCAGTGAGCCAGGTGTGGTGGTGCATGCCTGGAATCCCAGTATTCTGGGAGGCTGAGGCAGGAGGATCACAGCCTAGAGCCCTGCCTGGGCAATTTACAGAGACTCTGTCAAAATAAATCTTTAAAAAGCGTCTAGGGATAGAGCTCAGTGCAAAGGTCCTGGTTCAGGCCCTAGTACAGAAAGAAAGGAAGGGAAGGGAAGGGAAGAAGAAAGGAAATGAATCAAGAGCAGGGGACAAGTTTTGCACCAGGACTCTGGAATTTCTTTCCAGTGTAGAGAGGCAGAGGGTCCTCCCTCCTTCTCAGGGCCTGCTGAGTGTCTTGCATACAGTGGCTCATCAGTACCCATTTCTTGAGGAGTCTGAAGTCCTGGCAAATGTTAGGCACATCTTTTGCCCACCCCCCTTCAGTGGAAGGATCAAAAGTGCGTGGGCATTGGACCAGGCAGACGTGGCTCCGCCTCCTCTAATTTACTGTACCACTTTGGACCACACCACGTAATTTCTGGGTGTCTCAGTGCCCTGCTCTGTAAGATGGGGCGGCAGCTGACCTTGCTGTTTCTCAGGATGCGATGAGACCGGCTCCCAGTGCGCATGCTCCCGACGCACACACTGGCCTCCTTTCCCTGCTTTGTCCCAGGCGTGTATTTGTATTTCCCCTGATCTGGGGCAAGCCATTGCCTGGATCAACACTGGAGTTTTTGAAATTTCACATCCAATGCTGAGCAACACAGGCTCGGAGGCTGTCATCTGGGAGCAAGAGCTGGAAAACAGCTCACCTCTTTTTTCCATTTCTTTTTTGTTTTTTGAGACGGGGTCTCACCATGTAGCCCAGGCTGGCCTCAAACTCCCAGTCTCATGCTTCACTTTCCAAAGTGCTGAGATGACAGGTGTCACCTGTTCATTTTGATGCTGCTCCATTGTCTCTCTGTCCAGTCTGTAAGCCTGTGCTTAAATTCTTCTGCAGACAAGGAGCTCACCACCTCCTGTGCAGCTATTCTATATGTGGACAGACTTTCTGGAAGTTCTTCCTTACATGCAGCCCTGATCTACCGCCCCTGGGCTTTTGACACTGTTTCTGTGGTCTTGTTTTGTTATTCACCCTGAAGCAGCAGCCCCCAACCCCCGTTCCTCAGTGAACTTCCCAGGGAAGGGTGGGAGGCCAGGAGAGAGGACACTCCCCTCTAAAGCAGATGAAGCAGAGTCCTGGGGACAGTGGCAAGGTTACCACAGTGGATCCTCAGTAATGAGGATTCTGCATTTGCACGCTTGCTTAAATTTATGTAGACCCCCCAATCAGCATTTGTGGGGGCTTATGTGATTTTTCACGGACATGGCCAGAGTGCCAAGCGTGTCACGTGGCCAGACATGCAAGTTCCCAGCACAGGGGGCTAGGGAAGCCCCTGCTTCCTGCCTCCGTGCTGTACTGCTGACCAGCACCCTGTGCAGTATTCTTTGCATCCTCCTGCTCCTTTCGGTGGTTGCAGTGTTTAAAATGACCCCGACACCTAGTGCTATAGAATGCGTAGCAGCGCCCCTAACCTCTTCCCTCGAGATGCCAGGACCACTTCGCCACTCGCACCCCTCACTCTCCTGCAGTATTACCCAGTGTCCCCCAGCAGGATACACCACTTTTGATTGAGAACCCCCACCCCTCATCATTCCAAGGCTAAACAGTTTTCAGCCTTGTGTTTACCCAAGTAGGCTTAGATAGAGTCAAGAAGCCACCACATCCATCCATCCGTCTATCTGTCCATCTGTCCATCCATCCATCCATCCATCCATCCATCCACCCATCACTTCTGGATACTCTGGGAGGCTGAGGCAAGAGGATCACAAATTTGAGCCCAGCCTGGTCAACTTACCAACTTGGCGAGAGCCTGTTTCAAATTAAAGCCAGTCATACCGAAGGGCGGGAACTTATTCCTAACAGTCCCAGTTCTTCAGGCCTCTTTCCCACCTGCATGTCAGCCTTCCTTTTCCCACCTGGGGCCTGCAAGCCTCCCCTAGGTGCTTCCCTTTGTTCCTGGTCCCCAGAAAGTCTGTGATAACAGACAAACACAGATTTAGATCCTGACTTCCACCAACGGTCATGCACCACGGTGGACTGCGTTACTTCACTTCTCTGCGTCTCAGTTTCCTCTTCTGTAAACTGGGGCCAGAACCGACCTCACCGAGGTCTGGTGGAGATTACTGAGGTGAGCTCCAGCACAGCACTTCTCGACAGGGCAGAAAATAGCAAACGAGAGGCCGCGCTGCGTCTGGGCAGTTGAGTTTGCAGGCAGCCGAGACCCCTGCGTAAGGGAGAACCCAAAAAGCTGGCTCAGATGGAATGCAAACAAATCCTGTTTCCCCCCCAGAGCCCCCAGCAGCGTGGGCTGCCGCCTTGCATGCAGAGGCTGAAAGGACGACCCAGACCCCGCCTCCTGGAAGCCACCGCCTGAACTCCTCTGCGGGTGCAGCCGCCCGCTGCCCGCCTGGCCCCACCCCTCTCAGCACTGCCGCCCCCATCTCCCCTGGGGCCTCTTGCCTTCCTTGTCCCGCGGTCTCTTGCCCCCTAGAGCCTCCCTCTCCTTTGCACTTCCCGGGTCTGTTCCTGGCTTCCCCAAAGCCGCGTGTCAGGCGGGAGCGTCTCGGCCCCCACCCCGCTCTTTCCCACCCGCCCTGTGACGTTGCTGCGTCTCTGGGCCTCCCGAAGAGTCTGGGTTTGTTCTCTGTGTCTCCATCTCCCTCCGGTTCTGCTTCTCCTCTCTTCTCTGCACGGACCCCTCTGTGTCCGGACCGGAGGTTTGGGGTGCAGCATCACCCCGACATTCCTGGGGCCAGGGCTTCTCCGAATGAGGAACGCCCCTACTGCGCGAGGCTGCGGTGTAAGGAGGGTGGAGGTTGGAAGGTTTGGGCTCCGGGACGGGACGGATGCACGCTGCATTCCGCCTGAGAGCACCCAGAGCGAGGCTGCCCTGCCTTCAGGGCTCTGCTGTCTCTCCCCGCTGTGGCCTGGGCTTCTCAGCTCTGACTCTGTCGCCTGGTCGCTGACACCAGAGGGCTCCCTGGACCCCAGGCTCTGTGTGGGTGCGGGGTTTCAGCTCTGCTCTGACTCAGTTTCTCCTAATCGTTTGTTTTCACTCTGGCCTCCTTCCCAGGCCGCTCTGCCCCACTTTGCAGCGCCCCCAGAATGCTTCCCTCTCTTCTGTCCCTCAGTCTTTATCTCTCCTCCTTCTAACTCCCACCTGTCTCCCTCGTCCTCCTTGCTCTTCATCTATCCCTGCATCTCCCCATCTCTTTTTCTCCTCCCTCCCTCCCTCCCTGACCCACCTCCTTCCTACTGAGTTACATCCTCACCTCCCTACTTTCTTTTTGAGACCAAGTCTCACTAAGTTGCATAGAGTAACCTCAAATCTGAGGTCTTCCCGCCTCAGCCTCCCAGAGTGCTGGCATTACAGGCTTGTGCCACCATGTCAGGCTTCCTTTTTTGTCTTCATCTTCATTTGCCCTCCTCCCCCACCTGTGTTCACCCCGTTACCCATCTCAGGGGCTGTCTCCCAAGCAGGAACATCCTAGTTCTTTGTCAGCCTTTGCCTCTGGGGCACCAACCCATGCAGGAGGCCCATGGAGAGCTGGGCCCCAGGCTGATGATTTGAGGAGGATCCTGCCCGGCAGCTGGTGAAGTCATGCACAGAGGCACACTCTGATTGCTGCCCTGGGTTTATTGATGAAGGTCAGTTTGAGGTTAGTCCAATGCCACCCAGATAACTTCATGGTCCCTCCATCTGATTCACAGTCTCTTCCATGATTATCGGAGTGAGGCCAATCAGCCCTGGCCCCAATGGAAAGGGCCTTTCCCTCAGATTTCTTTTCACATCTTGTTTCACCTCCAAGGAACTCTTCATGCTGCAAGCATTTATTGAGCACCTGCTATATGCTGGACCTGCTGCTGAGCCCTGCAGGTAGAGGAGTGAACTGGCCAAGCGAGGTCATTTTCTTAGAGAATTTACATTTGGAGGGTGGAATAGAGCAGAGTTGGATCCTACCTTATGTGAGAGAAACTTCCCCAAAAGTGGCTTGCACAAGATGAATGCTGATCACTTTCATATTAAAGAATTCAACAGCAAGGAGCCCCAGGCAGGAGTGGCCACCTCCGTGGTCACTTTCTGCTCCACTGTCCTATACTTTCTTCCAACCATGAGGCCTTAGAGTCCATAATGGCTGCGGGAGTTCTAGCGATTGCACCAGCATTCCAGGTAATAGGGACCAGGAAGTGCTGAAAGGCATGATGGATTTTTTTTTTTTTCCTGTTAATTGACTGCAGTGTTCATCTGAATGGCCAGCGGCCATGTGGGGGACAGTACAGGCCTGGGGGAAGGGGCCAGGCTGACAGTTTCAGAGCACGAGGAAAGACTGTTCAGGGGTGAGGGCCAGTGCGTGCTGAGGCTCTGTGGCGAGAAGCAGCCAGGACTGCTGAGGACTGGGGACATTTGTCAGGGGCTGGACGCAGGGCTGGGAGGTGGGGCCTGACTTCACCCGCCAGAGCGGGATTCCTGGTCAGCTCCCAAGGGTGGAGAAGGCAAACATCTGGCAGAAGAGCGGTGGAAGGGCCCAGCCACACCTGGTGCTGGCCACTTCTTACTCACTTATCTGTCATCCAACTTGTGTTGTAGGAAGGACATGAGGCCCTGTCTGGGCACAGGGGACTCGGCAGGGAATGAGACAGAGTCGCTACCCTTGGGCAAGTTGTTCCGGCTTCTGGAGCCTTTGGCACTTAGTTCACCCTCCATAGCTACAGGTTCCAAGTGCCCTGATTCGACCAGCTCCAGACTGAAAGTGTGTGTGGAGGGGGGAAGTTGTGAATGTTTGCATTGTGGTTTCTGAGCTACATTCCCAACTCCTTTTATTTTCTATTTTGAGGCCGGATCTCCCTAAGTTGCCCAGGTTGGGCTTAAGCTGGCAGTCCTCCTGCCTCGGCCTTCCCAAGTGCTGGGGTTATAGGCGTGTACCACCATGCATGGCTTCTTGTCATTATCCCGGCCATACGGTGTAGTAAAGCAGCTGCCGACGTGGCGTTTGCATGGTGTTGGGCATTGTAAGTAATCTAAGACGGCGAAGTGGGCAGGAGGCTGTGTGGTTCCGTATAAACGCTACACCGCTGTGTCCAGGGGTCTGAGCACCCGTGGATTTTGGCATCCTGGGAACCCTGACATCAACTCCCCGTGTGACTGAGGGGCGACTGTCTTATCCAAGTGGGCTGACACTCATTTTTTTTCCTGGTTTCTAAAAGTTGAAACACTTCCCCCCAAAGTACAATGGGCCTAGACCCCAGGGCTCCAGTGTGAGAGAAGTCGCTCCTGCCTTCCGAGCGTCTGGGAGGCCACAGCAAGTGCCAAGACTGCTTCTGACAGAGCCGTGCTGTGACAGGTTGATGCAGAGACGGTGACAGGGCGGGCAGACATCTGAGTGGAGGAGGTAGAGATGGACGGAATGCTCGACAGTGAGAAGTGTCAGAGCTAGAGTGGAGGCACAGGGTGGGTTGCTCGGGGGAACCTGAGGGGAACAAGGAGGCAGGACCTGGCTGTGGGGCTCAGGAGTCGTGGTCCCCTGGGAGCCCCAAGTCCATATCTCAGCCCAGCCTTGGCCCTGCCTAGCTCTGCCTGTGTGTATCAGTCCTACAAGGCCTGTAGGCTGCTCTGCTCTTTCGAGTTTTGGGGGGTTTGGGTTTGGTTTTGTTTGAGATAGGGTCTTGCTATGTAGGTCAGGCTGGCCTTGAACTCACTACGGAGCCCAAGCTGGCTTTGAATACATGGCAGTCCTCCTGCCTCAGCCTCCCGAGTGCTGAGATTATAGCACTTGTGCTGGAGACCTGTGATTATCCAGAACCACCAGCAGGAGCTGCTCACAGCAGCAGGGGATCTGGACCCAAGGATGGGCACCAACAATGCCTCCCTCGGATTCCATGTAGACTGGAGCTGGGAATTCGGATCTGCTTCTCACTGGTGTCGGATGTTACTGTAGGATTTCAAGCAGAGCAACAGCATGCTTGGAATTTCTTTTTGGATGGTCCCCCTGACTCCTGTGGACAACAGCTACGCAGGGCTGTGTGGGGGCAGTGGCAGGAAGAAGCAGAGGCTACCGCAGCTGTCCAGGCAGGCGACCGAGGAGGCCTGGGCACAGGAGGTTACAGCAGGAAGTCCCCAGCACAGCCAGCAGGGCAGAGAGCAACAGGGTCACCTGCCGATCTGCTTTCTTCTCCTTTCTTTTTGCCTGCAGCCCAGACTCAAAGAGCTTCCTCCCAGGGCCTTTGCATCTCCTTTGCATCTCCAGAGGCTTGGAGAAGGAAGGGGTGGTGGGTGGGGAAGCTCCATCTCCAGGCCCCTCCTGATCTTTCTCTGGTGTCTTTTTTTCTCTCCCCCACTGGCTGCTGCCCCGAAGTCAAGCTTCGATCCCCATCACCGCTCCCAGCCAAGTTACGAACGTCCTTCTTTCCTGCCTCCGGGACCTGGGCTCATGCTCCGACAAAAATCTATCGGTATGTTCCCCGCTAGGGACGGGGCAGGCAGGGAGGGTGACCCTGCGTGGGGCAGGCAAGGGCGCCTGGGCATGTCTTCTGCTCACACCCGCGACCACAGTGCAGTGGAGCTGGCCAGAGAGCTCAGCACTTGAGCTGGGAAGCTCCAGTGAGTCCTGGCTCCTCTGCTTCCCAGCTGTGGGTGTGGAGCAGCTGGCTCTGCATCTAGAAAGTGGAGAGATACGTGCGCTGGCCCTCAGAGCCCTGTGCACACAGGGATGGGGCGGTGGTGACAGCGAGTGGCTGAAGCCAGGCACTGCACAGGAGAGAGCAGTCAGAGATAGAGTCAAGGTCTGACTCTGAGAAGCAGGCAAAGGTTTCACTCCTCCAAGCCTCCTGGAGCGGTTTTGCCATTGGTTTTGCCTATTGCTTTTCCCTGGGTCCGGTGTCCGCCATCCCCAAAGTGACGCAGCGTCCGTGAGCCCTACTTGTGCCTCGCCACTGGCCGAGTACTTTTTCGTTGTCAGCAACCTCCATAAACATGAGCCGTATTTGGGCTGGGGACCTAGCCCAGCGGTAGGGAGCTGGTCTAGCAAGTGTGACCCCGTGGGTTCAATCCCCAAGCAAAAAGAGCTCGTCTGCCCTCAGCCACATCTAGAGTGGTTGTAGCTCTGAAGTCACAGGCACATAATCGTGGCGATCCTTTCCCGGCTCGAGCTACTTATGCTCACCGCGAGGCACCCTAAATGGGCCTTTGTGCGAACTAGAAGGAGGCGCCTCCTCGTGCCTGGAGGTGGAAATTCAGTTGAATTTCGCCCCCGACTTCCCGCCTGCTCCCCCTGCTGTTTGCTGTTGAGCAGTGCAAAACCTGAAGCTCCGCGCTGATCCGTGAGAAGTGTTTAGCACTTTGCGCCGGGTGCCGCTGCTATCTTTACTCCTGGGGACAGGACAGCGGGAGAGCCCCGCCATGTCCCACTCGGGATCCTCCGTGTCTCCCCAGGGGCTGCAGAGGATGATAGACCATACCTAGCACCCCCAGCCATGAAGTTCAGCCGCAGCCTATCTGTGCCTGGTTCAGAGGACATCCCCCCGCCGCCCACCACGTCCCCGCCAGAGCCCCCCTACAGCACACCCCCGGCCCCCTCCTCCTCGGGCCGCCTCACCCCCTCCCCGCGGGGAGGCCCCTTCAACCCCGGCTCCGGGGGACCCCTCCCCGCCTCCTCCCCTGCGTCCTTTGACGGCCCCTCCCCTCCCGACACGCGCGTGGGGGGCCGGGACAAGAGCCTGTACCACGGCGGGCCCCTGCCCCCTGCGCACCACCACCCGCCGCACCA